ACTTGGAGGAAAAGGAAGTGGTAGTATCCATCCATTTTTACAGTGCACCACTGGGAACACACTGACAAACAGCGTCTGAGTCACTGGGAAATTGTTTTTCATTAATTGTCCTTGTTTGTTTTCGTTGGGTTTGTTGGGTTTTTTTTTTTCATTTGGAATACAGGAGAGAGGAAACATGTTTAATCCATGCTGAGAAATCTGGCATTTCATTAGAGGAGCTGCTCCGAATCAGCAGCTTTAAGCAGGGATTACAATAATTATGTGGGAAGAAATGCAGTTGAGAGAATTGCATCTCAAGACGCCTTCCTTCAAGGCATGCAGTCAGGTGCCTCCTTGCTGCTTGCGCAGGCGGTGCTGCTGTCAAGCCAGAGCCAGGGAATTGCTGCTTCTGTCTTGGAGAAAGGTCTCGGGAGGAGAGAGCCTGGAGTGATGGTTAGCAGTGAAATGGAGCAGGGAGGCTAGGAGGAAAGCCTCCGGGCTCAGGAGAGCTTTCTGATCCGCAGTGAATGGCCTATTCCATGTTGGGTTTCAGTGTTCTAATGGATGCACTCTGTTTATTGCTGCTTGTCTTCTATAAAATTTGAAGCCAACAAGCTCCTCAAGAGAGCAGCGCATTGCAAGCAAGCCCTGAAAAAGGCTTAAATTGCTTGTCCAGGCTCCGCTGAAATTAGAGCAATATACTATGCAGTGCAATTGCGGGTTGATGAACTTAATAAAATGTTATGATCCAAACATCAGTTTGCATGGATTTATTTTTTTTTCCCCTTCCCTCCCGGTTTTGACACTCTCCTCGCAGAATTTCTTACGCTGCCAGAACAACAAGACAAACTACAACTTGGTGTGCGAGACACTGCAGTTTCTGGACTGTATCTGTGGAAGCACAACTGGTGGACTTGGACTTCTTGGTCTGTATATAAATGAGAAAAATGTAGCGCTGATCAACCAGACGCTGGAAAGTTTGACCGAGTACTGTCAGGGGCCTTGCCACGAGAACCAGGTAATACATCCCTAGCTGTAAAAAGCATCACCCTTTCTCCCTGCACCCGCGGCGCGTGATCTGCTGGGCTTGGCTGTCAGTCTGCTAGACTTGTGTTGTCTGACAACGCTGCTCGCTTTACTTGCCTGACAAAGGGGTTTTGGTTTTGAGGTTTTTTCCCCCCATAATAAACTCATAATAATCAACTTCTCTTTCTCGAGGCCCCCTCTGAGGAGTTGAACCACTCAAAGCAGTAGAGATTTTTCTGCTTTGCTAGGATTTAAGTTGTTTTATTAGACTCGACAGACAGGGTGAGTGGGGAATTTTGAGCTTGAAATACTTCACAGTAAAAATGTTGCTAAAGCCAAGCTCTGTTGCCTGTTGTAAATGAAGCCAGAAATGTGCCCTCCCGGGCTGATGGGAGAAGGTGGAGCTCTGTAGCTTCGTTAATGAAGATGATAACCATGCTGAGGTTGTTTTCAGACAGTCTTGTGTGTAGAACGAGGTGCATGTCACTGCTTGCACGGGGACGTGGCGGTGGTTCCCCATGAGCACGGTCAGGTGTTGGTGAGGACCACCAAGTGTCTGCTGGGGGCTGAAGCAGCCTCTGTCCAGCTCCTGTCCAAAAACTGTACTCACTGTCCATGGTACATTCTGCTCCAAGCAGGAATAACTCTTTGGTGGTGGTGGTTTAAGTAACCATGTTACTGAGAAGGCATGACTGAATAACGACAATAATCCTGTCGGGTTAAAGCAGTTACTGACCCACAGCTGGACTTGGTCTGCTCTGTGCCTCGAAGGTTGAATAATCAGCAAGGAATATGGGAAGACACTGCACAAGCAGGAGTTTTTAGGTGCTCAAGAATTACAGTTTGCCCCAGTGGGAAGGATCAGAAGGCAGGGGCAGCTGTGCTTTTCCACTCCACCTTCCCACAGGTTGTACAGCCATGTTTTAGAGCAGCATTGCCGGTTAGTCAGGCCCATTTCTTCTGCTTTTGGTCTAAATGTGACTCTTGCTATAACTGTTTCAATGAGGCAAATGAAGCCTGAAAGTCTACAGTAAACCATACTAAGAGATAGCTACCCAAACTCTGGCCACTCTATGGCATTGACTCACCAAATAACATGTGTGGTGTGTTAGAGAAGCTTTTCCCGTTGGGCTGGCATGACCTGGGAAGTCCTGTGCTCCAGGGACGGGTGTCACCCTTCTAACAAGCAAATCTCTGCACTTACAAACATGGATGTCTGCTTATTTTCTCCATTTGCATGGAGACCGTTGTATGGTACAGAAAGACTGGAATATGACTCTTCAAAAAGTCCTCAAGAATATCTGTGCTTTGAAGTGCCTTCTCTTTGTGCACTCAAATGTAATTTACAGCAAAGCTAAACAATAACATAGTGGGGGTGACCAATGTTCAGATGAAATCGTATCTATGCAAGAGGATGCTTGAGGCTGCACACGTCGGTTCACAACTGGCAGTTCCTCTCCGTTACCCGGATCGGGTGGATTAACAACCTTTAGATATAGGTATGGATCTTTGCAGTGGAGCTCAACGACAGAGCAGGGCTCTGGATGTTGAAGCCAGCAAGCTGCTGTGGTTTGTATGTTTTAGTTATAGACCATTATAAAAGCAGGGTTAAAAGGTAAGCAAAAAGGTTGTGGAAATTCACATTCTTCAGTTAGACAGGACTGAAGTAGGTGTTGATTGGCACATCCAAAATAAAGAAAATTCTCCCTAATCTTAGCAAAACAGCATTCTTCCTTAGCTATGTGCTCAGGCTGGACGCTTTGGCACGGAAATGCTTCGTTTATCAACTGCGTTGCTTTTTGCTTCCTGAGGCTGGGTGGTTTCGGTAGGATGTGCCATGGCTGAAGATAGGAAAAGCTTGAAACAAAATGCCTTAATCTCTTGTTATTCCACTGACGGGAGTTTTGCGTTCAGTTATCCATCTCAAACAGCTTACAAGGTGATGAAAGAGATGACTCCTCTGGCTGGGTCACTAGCCTAGGCTGCATTTTTAGTGTAGACAATTAGTGAAGTTTGGTGAATTTTCTTTGGACAGAACTGCATTGCTACTCATGAGTCCAACGGTATTGACATCATCACAGCATTAATTCTCAATGACATCAACCCTTTGGGGAAGAAGAGGATGGACCTTGTGTTGGAACTGAAGGCAAGTGACTCTTTTGTGCATTCCACGTTAACAGTAAGATGAAACATAAATTTTATTGTTGGAATTATGTGGGTGTCTATTATATCCCAATATTCATAAGTGCTGAAAAATTATATGCATCAGCGAGCTGGAGGCAATGCCCAAAGATTGTTTGTCACAGGTATTTCATCTTTTAAGTGATAATGTGGAGCCACCACTTTTCAGACAGGGGAGATGCTGGCAGTCAGGATATGCTGAGGAATCCTGAAATAATTTCCTGTTAAAAATTTAAAGCCGATGAAAACTTCTCTGTTAGTGGTGAGCTTTTCCACATACAATGGCAGTGAAATTTCTCGTGCTACATCTAGTTTCCTAAGACTTTATTGCTGTTGTTTAATCACTTGATGTTTAATCATCAAGAATTTTTTAGGGCTGTTCATATTAATGCTGAAATAATTACCCTGGTATTGGTTTCAAAATGCACTAGCAGGTTGTCTTCTAGCAACGGTAGTCGCAGAGCACTCCTGCTTCAGCATATGTTTCAGAAATATTTCCTTTCTGACTTATTGTCCTGTCTTATAGTGCAATGTCTAGTTGTTTTCCGTTGCCGACTCACACCATTATTATGGGTAATGTGGGTTTTTTATTATTCTAAATAAAAAATGCTTTTAGACTCAATTAGCATTATACTTCAAAATTAAATACTTTTATTGGGTTTTATTGTCAGTCATGATGGATTTTAATCTTAATTGTTCGTATTAAAGTAGTCTGGTGCCTTGTGGTAGTTTCCCATTTCCTCCCTCTATTTCTTGGCATGAGCAGGTCGCAGAGTAATTTTCAGTTAAAAGCAGCGAAGCACGTCTGTGTCTTCAGCCTTGGCTGTCCTTTGATTTAATCAACAGTATTTTGGAGCTGAGAGCTTGTAGTAATGCTGCAGTATCTTTAAAACAAGACAAAATAACACACAGGAGCTTGAAACCTCAGCATTTTAGAAATCTGAACCTTAACTTGGGTTAATTTGGCCCCCAATAAGTAGAGTTTGGGAAATAAACTCATAAAAATACTACTAAGTTGTATATCTCCATAATTAGAGGAGAGGGAGTGCTGGGCAAGGTGAGGCTGTAGGAGTCCTGGCTGGGAGACTGTGCCTTGCCCGTGGCTCGTGTTTGCACAAACTGGGTATCTCAGCAGGGATGGAAGCACTCGAGCTGGGTACCCTCGTTTTTTTGACTCCCGGCAGTGATTGCCGTTGTTTTTCCCTCCCTTCAGAACAACGCTTCAAAACTGCTCTTGGCGATCATGGAGAGCAGGCACGACAGTGAGAATGCAGAGCGGATCCTCTACAACATGAGACCCAAAGAGCTGGTGAGTCCCTGGGTCACTCCCTTCATGCCAGGGACAGCAGGCACTGGTCATGGCACTGGGGAGACTGGGGTGGCCGCGACCACCCCAAACATGCTGCAAGAGGTCTGTGCATGGATCGATGGAAGACCTTTCGAGGTCTGGAAGACCTTTCAAGGATTTGATTGAACGAGTGCAATATCTGTAGGGGACGGGTCTGTCTAGTTCCCAGGCAGCACAAGCGATTAGGGAAGCCACGCTGAACGCTATGGAGGTGACATTCAGCATCCCGCATAAGGTAGGGAAGGAGCATCATCTGATGCTTTGGAATTCACGTGTAGAAGCCATTTGCACAAGAGACAGAGAAATGAAAATTTCTTGTGATGTAAAAGCTGTTCAGTAGACTGTAACAGGCTTTGGGGCTGGTTAATGTATTAACTGGTAAAAACACAAACAGGAGATTCAAAGTACAGCTGGAAACTCTGTCGACTTGTCTCGGTGCACGTAGCTGTGGCAGAGGCCAGAGGTCGGAACGTGATGCAGCGTGCTGCGAGGGCGGCCCAGAATATATTACCTAGGGAGGAACGTGAAGCTTAGTTTGTTGTGTCAATGAGCTGGGCTGAAGGTGCTGAGTTCAGGTCCCCTGTTTTATCCTGGATGTTGAGAAGCCCACTGACCTTCCCCTTGAACGTATATGCTCAGCTCCCTTTCACCGCCGTCAGAGTGCCACGTGTATACTGGCCTTAGCGGACTTCAGCCCTCAGCCTGAGCTGTCTCTTCCTTGGCCCCTGTCTCTCTCTCTAGGTGGAAGTGATAAAGAAGGCTTATCTGCAGGGAGAAGTAGAATTTGAGGATGGAGAGAATGGGGAAGATCTTGCAGCATCTCCGAGGAACGTGGGACACAACATTTATATATTGGCTCATCAGGTAGAATTTCACCTGCAGCTTTTGTAGCACCAAGTGTCACAAACTGTGGATAGCAAGAGGTCTGCTTTTCCCTGAAACTGTTGTAATGGCTAACCTCTGGGACAAACTCACTGCACGGTCCCTTTTTATCAGAGCAAATTCCAATCCTTAAAAGAATCAGAAAAGAAAATTCTATAAGAAAATTCTTGGAGATTTCTTTTATAATAGGGAGCAGGCAGGCTCTTGACTAAGCTTCCGAAGACATGTGATTCAAGTTCTTGGCAGTACCGGGGAGCAATGCATTATTTTTCAGCCATATCAAAGGTTACTTTATACTCCCAAAGAAATTGTACTCATGGATCCCTTAAACCATAAGCAGAAATCTCACTCCACTCTTACACTTCTTGTCACATTCTCTCAATGTTGGAGCCAGTCAGGTTTGTTGTATTGATACGATGTGGTGTTTGAAAGGTAAAAGACCAAGGGGGGAAAAAATAATAATCTAGATCTGTTTAATATATTGATGCTGCATATATCACTCCATTTGAGACTTCTTGTTCCTTCAGCATCTGAGAAGAAAACCCATCGCTATGCTGTAGGATGAATTCAGAGCATCCAGAAGCATTTTTGGAGCAGTGCTCCCTGCATCTGCTTTTCAACTGATGCAAATTTTCTCTTCCATCGCTGCCTAGATATTTGTGTGATTAGCACACCTTTGAATTAGGGTGGGTGTGGAGGGATAGACCCAGTGTGAATGTTCAAAAGTTTCCCAAGTCAGGTGAAGGATGGGAGAGGATGGGTAAAAGTGGAGTACAACGCAGATATTAAAAAAATACATATTTGAATCATTCTGACTTGCTCCCAAAATAGAGCTGCAGGGTGTCTGGTTGGAATAGAACAAGCCTTCTGTCAACTTTGCCCTTTCTTAGCAGCTGACTGCATACTATTTCTTTTTTTATGCCAAAAATCAGAAATTTAATATCATAGAGAGACATCTGGTGTCTCCCACTCCCTTTGCATTCCTTTATTTTAGTTGGCTCGTCATAACAAAGAGCTGCAGAACATGCTGAAGCCGGGAGGTCAGATAGAGGGAGACGAGGCTCTGGAGTTCTACGCCAAGCACACGGCACAGATTGAGGTACGGGGAAACCGGTGGCTGCCGGGAGGTGGAGGCGGGGGGGGGAAATATTCCGCTGCGGAAAGTGCTGCTTGGAAGAAACGGTGGAGATAAGCACCGGTTACATTATAAGTGATATTTTGATTGAACTGACTACCTGTGTGTGGACTCTCATCTTTGACATAAGAATATATATGTACTTATTTTTTTATTTTATTTTTTGACAGCCGCTGGGGGGGAGCTATTTTTGAGCTGTCATGTGTGGGCTTTAAGATGGAGCTGAGCAGAGCTCTCTTGGCAGGGGGAAGTGTAACTTCGCTTCTGTTACATTTTGGCCAGGACTATTGCTGAATCCATGAAGTTAGCGATAGCTTTTGCCATTCTTTCTGTATTAAAATGACAGTTTGGCCTGATGCACTATCTAAGATGCTTTTTTAAAAGTAAAACACGCACAAATACGGAGAGTTCACAAAACTCTCTAATAAGCAATAGAAATATAACTATTATTCCTCATACTTGCCTGTGCGATGTGTAGCTAAAATTTGCTAAGATTCTTCAAGCTGATTGCTCTGAAATTCAGCACAGCTTTGGTGCAGGATTCACGGGGCCCCTTGGAAATCCCACCTAAGCACAGTATTGCCAGGATAAGACCACAGCATAGAAATTATCAGTCTTGGAGCTAAATGTAGGCCTGCTTTGAAAGGTAGATTAAATGAAGTCTCTATCAAGTTGGTGTTCTATGCAAGTGTGTCCAAGTTTCTACGTGTAGCTCGTTTGAAAGGGGAGGAAAAAAACGCAGACAAACCAAGAAATAAAAGCGTGTAAAAACTAGGAAGATCTCTAATAAGGCTGCTGTTCAGATTGTCAGGTCAGACCGTACCATGGAGCAAATCGTCTTCCCCGTGCCCAGTATATGTGAATTCCTCACGAAGGAGTCCAAGCTGCGGATATATTACACCACGGAGAGGGATGAACAAGGCAGCAAGATCAATGACTTCTTCATGAAATCAGAAGACCTCTTTAATGAGATGAACTGGCAAAAGAAATTGCGAGGTAGGTTGGTGTTGCCAGTGTGGTTGTGTGGAGTGTTACCAGCAGAGCGCTGAGGTCAGGTTTTTGGAGTTTGAAACATTGACTTGGTAGCAGATGGTTCCCCAGGGTGGCAGCAACCTTGATAATTGTTTGAAAGAGTCTGCTCCTCTGCACGATGGCAACATGCTGTAATGAAGTCAAGCTTAAAGCAAGAGCAATATGGACCAACTGGAGGGGATCCAGGGGAGAGTGGTAAGAAGGATCACAGGTCGTCTTTTTTAAGATCCAAGAGGAAGGAACAAATTTGTGGAGGCTTAGCTTAAATGAGAAGGCATTTGGTGGCAGGGAGAAATGGAGAGGACACAGCTGAGGAAAGCAGTGGTCTGTTCTTCCCCTGCGCTGGGTACACGAAGCGGTTCCCTTGCATTGCAAGGAGTCAGGCTGGGTAATGCAGCACGGACGTAGGGCATCTCCAGCAATGGAAGCATGTAAGAACAGGTTAAACACGCATTTCCCAGTAATAGTAGAAGTAGAAATCGTCCTCTCTTTGGGCAAGGAATAGAGTGGCAGATGGGCTGATTAAGTCCCTTCCAGCCCTGTGATGCTAAAATATCTGAAAGCAAGCATTTTCGAGCACTGCTTTTCCCTCTGAGGTTCCCACTGGCAGCTAGGAAAATCTTTAAGATTATATTTTAATTCATACAGTGCTACCACTTCCCCCAGTAAACTTTCTAACTCATTTGCTTAATTTTTTTTTAAATTGATTTGTTGTTTTGCTGAAGGGGAAATGTTGCATAGGAGGCTCAGCTTCAGTGGGCAGTGATGAGTGGTTAGAATTTACCAACAACGACCCTCTGAAATGCGAGAGATAAAGCAGTTATTTCCTGCTCAAGTCAACATCTGCCATCTGATAGCACTGTTGTTCCCCATGCTTGAATCAGTTAAACTCCAGTTACTGGCGCAAGAGCACAGGCTGGTCCAGAACAAATGTGAGAGCGGACGAGCGCTGTACAGCTGCATGCTGCCGTGGCCACCGAAACCTGCCTGCTGGGCCAGGCAATCCACGCCAGTGTGGCTAGCAAAGGTTGTGTGTCCCCCCGCCCTTTTTTTTTTTCTCCTGGTACTCAGTCAGCATTGCACGTCATAGGAAAAAAAAAAATGAGGTGAGAAGGGACCTCTTGACCTTCCTCATTGTGAAAATTATTTTTTTATAAAATTATTTCCCTCGTTGCAACCTCTGACGGTTGCGTTTTGCCCTCTCACTGCGCACCTCCAAGGAGAGCCTGGACTCTTTCCAGTTTGTTTTTAGGATGCATATGCATAGTTCGCGCTAGAGCTGATGATGTGTTGCACATTTGGTAACGGAAATTCAATATTTGCTTCTGATTGTTGGGATGTATGTGTATATATATGTGTTAATAGATCTTGTAACAGAGAAAAGAATTGTAATCGTATTATTTAAAATTGTCGGAGCCAGGTACAGATAAGACCACCTGAAACTTGGTCAGCTCTACTGAAATATTTTTCATGCGTATGAATACTAAATAGCGTGGAGCTATTTCCACTAAACAACGGATTAGTACTTCTGACAGCACCAAAATCCCCAGGAAGCTGCTTCCTAAAATGAATTCTAAGAACTCTACAACAATATGGAATATTTGACATCCTAAACAAATGGGCAACTTTCTTTGACAGCATCCATGTATTCCGTTAGATTTTGTTGTTCAAGTTATTTTAATTGTCTTTGAGGCTATCTCCAGGCAAGCTGTGAAGACATCCATAATTAACAACAGAACACAAATTAATCAAGATGCACCCACAGAAGTGGAGAATATTTCTTTTTTCTTTAAGGAACTGGAATCATTTAGTCTGTCTCCTAATATTCTGGTCTTGTTCAGCCTCTGGGTGATACTCTGTGTTTATACAATTGTTTCTCACATTTTAAGTACCAGATTGTGTTTTCAAGACGTGACGGGCTGGCTGCGCTCAGGTATGCCACTTACTGTTGATTCAAACCTGGGAAAGACTTTTTTTAAAAGTCTTATAAAGACCCACGTACTCCCCCCTTCAGCTCACGGTGGTAGCCCATAATCTGAGCACCCTTGAGCCTCCTAAGGTCTTAATTAAGCATTAAAATGAGCCTGCCAAAACCAGGCAGAAGTGCTACACTGGGCAGATAGTCTGTGCCCATCCCCAAAGGAAGGTTTAAAGTAAATCCTGGAACTTTATAATGACCCTTCGTATAACAATTTCCTACAAGTTAATTCAACCTGCTTACAAATTCTTCCAGTTAAGATGAAATTGAGAACAGAAATAATACAGAAATTGGTGTATCCTATATTTGAAACATTGCTACATTGCATTTCAGTGAGGCTTAACGTGTGCCTGGCTAATTAGGTGCAACGAAGCTTGTATCCTTACAGTGACAGGGTACCTTTTTGTAGTCCTTTCCTTTGCATTCAGCTGTTCAATACATTTGCTTTTTATGTGCATTTCAACTCAGTATAATGAGGCATTGTATAATTCTTTTAACCCAACTTTTTTTGCTTAGGATGCTAGACGAGGTAATTTGCTGAAGAGAGGTGGTGGCTACTGTGAGGCTCAGAATTGCTGCATTCATTAATTTACTCTTCTTTTCAGCTCCAGACTTTGCATTTTCATCTTTTCCCTAAATTTCACTGTGAGCTTCTTTTCCTTTACCCTCTGATACCCGTGCACGTTACCTGCTCCCAACAGGGACAAACATTAGTTCCTTCCCTTCTTTGAGACCATTTTTAATAGATTTATAATTTTTTTGCCTCTCTAGATTTCAGGAGTACACGACTTGCTGTACAATAAGCCTGCAGGAGCTAAAATCAGGGGGATTTTGCCTTGATGCAGAGGGAATTACTGTAAGGCAGCTCCTTAGCTGTCCTTCTCATCTTCTGGTCCTCAGCCACTTCAGAAAAGGAATCTTTTTGCTTTCTGTGCCTCTTCATTCAAGCTGCAGAGATTATTACAATTAAGAATCTTTTTGAAAAGTATTTATATAGTGTTAAGAATTTAAAATGTGCAGCTGTTTGACTGTACGCTTAGCTCTGTGCAGATGTGCTTCTGTCCTTTGCCCGCAGGGCGGAGGGAGTTTTTATTCTGGGGCTATATCAGGCTGTTATCAGCTCGAAGTAAAGTTGTCTTACTTGCTTGGCAGCTAGTCCTAAACATTTTAGCTTTATTGCTATCTCGCTACGCTGCATTTTGTGTCCTAATTGTCCACCTCGCGCTGTCTTCGCTGTGTTATTTCTGGCTTGCTACAGCGGAAAAGAAGTTTGAAGGTGGGCAGCATCTCGTGTAGGTGAGCTGCTGGCAGCAGCATAACCGGGAGGGATGGGGCTGAGTCTCGCCATAAATATCGTGTACAAATTCTCTTCCTCCTAATTGTTCTTTGTGTGACTCTGAGTAGAAAGTATATTATTAGGGGGAACCCAAAGTCCTTGACCTTGGGAATTTCTGAACTCATTCTCCTGCTGCCACTAAATCAATTAATGTTTGAAAATACTTTCCTTTTTAACATGAGTCCTTTGCCTTAAAGCACCATCTAGGAAACTGGAAGTACCCCAAAGATAGAGAGTAATCAAATAAACTTCAGAATAAGCCATGACTATTACTGCTGTTGATGCTGTGCTTTTGTGCAAACTGAAAATAAACTGAGTTTTGATGGAGATTAATCTTTTATATAGAACTCTTATTTTTTCAATTGCTCCATTAAAAAGAATTATTTTTCTCTTTTGCAGCTCAACCTTTCCTATACTGGTGTGCTCGCAACATGTCCTTCTGGAGCAGTATTTCCTTTAACCTGGCTGTCCTTATGAACCTGCTCGTGGCATTTTTCTATCCATTCAAAGGAATTCGAGGAGGTACCAATATTTTAATATACAAAAATACGTGAACAAATAAGGTGTAATGAGCCAAAATCTGTCCCCCACTTGTGTCTCTGCATCCCTGTTTACTTCAGTGCGGATAGCAGAAAAGAAATTGGCTTTATTTTAATTTCCTTGATTTAAATTGTGCTGCTGTTATGAGTTACTTTTTCTTGAGGCATTTGTAAGGAAAATGTAGAGCCATGCTTTTTCCTAGGGGAAAAAATTATCAAAGACAGACATCCACCTTTAATTACTTGACTGTTCTACTTTGGTTTAAAGTTCTGTAATTAAGTATTGAACTAAAAAATATGAGAAATGTTGCTTTGTTGTTTCCTTGAGCTTGCGTTTTATTAACGCCACTTCCCATAAAACTTTTGTGGTTGCATAGCACTTCAGGAGGCCCCCGGGTCTTGGGGTTGGGCGAGTGAGATGACCCTGCGTTGGGAGGTGAGGCGTACGGGGCGACGTGACCTGCCGTGTGCCGTTAGAGATTGCTGGAGGGCGCAGGAAAAGAGCCCATCTCCCCTCTGCTACTCTCTCTCCTAGGAGTCCCTTACTCCTGCGAGCGCTTAGAGCAGGGTGGTCCTAGGGAGTGAGCAGCAGCGTGCCAGCTGGGTCCCCTGGCTCAGGAGCAACCTGCCGCTCCGAGGTTCCTTCCCATCTTGCTATCATTTCTAACGTAAAGTATGGGTCAACACATGAGGTTCATGTGGGATTGCACAATCTTGCTGTAATAGGTCTCATGGAAGTTGGTTTTGATCCAAACACTGGGTTTGTGTGGCACTGATGGTTCTTAGAGCCACGTCAGTAAATATTCCCGGTGGAGTCCTGGTGAGATTTGGCTGCCCTTCCTTAGATCCATCCTCTCCCAAGAGACGCACCCCAGGGCAGGTAGAGGGGAGGATTCATGTCAGCAAGAATCAGGAAATCTGGAGAAATACTCTGGCGAATGCCTTTATCGTGCTTATCGATTGCAAAGCTGGTGTAAAGGAAATACATAGGTAGGAGCTTTTGCCACGTCCATGTCAGCTGGAGTCAATATGGACCCCAGCAGTAAAACCTCCTCCTGCAGAGGGTGATTCATGCTCAAGCCTTCACTTCCCTTTCTTTGAGATTCATAATGCAACAGGGCCAGTTAGATGCTTATCTTTTCCTATTGAACTTCCCTCTGCGTCTTTCTCCCGTTCATTGCGAACTACAGAACCCAGAGACAATGCAGCTCAGAGACAGCAGTGCCCTGAACCGCAGGCGATTATCAGCTGAGCTCTGCGTGTGCGGCATGAAAGCCTCTTCACCCTTTGTGCAGCTCACCAGTCCATTTAGATGGAGGAGAGCCGTAGCTTTGTCCAAGTAGCAGCTTATGGTCGCGGTGGGCGTGGAAAACTTGTGTTTAGGGGTTCTGCATCCTGATAAAGCCTGTCAGAAGGTACTGGATATTTTACACCAAAATCTGGTGTTCCCGAGAGGGGGGAGAGTGTAGTTACCTTCTGGAACATCAGGCTGTGGTTTTGGCCGCTGTACCTCTGCATCGCACCCTGCGTCAGCAGACCATGGGGCTGCCCCGATCCTCTTCTGGCTGGCAGTTGGTTGAAAGGTTTTAACAGGCATGAAGAGCAACTGAATTTTCTATCTCTAGTTTCAAGGATCACAGGTTAAAATTTAAAAGCTCTATTTATGGCTGCTAGGAAAGCTGGTAATTAAATGAGGTCGTTGAGGTTACAAGTTGCAAGACTGGGGGGGATCAGTTGGCATTTTGAAGATGCCCTACCCTGCATATTTGAAATACTTTATTTATCAGGTAACATTTTGATAAAATCTCTTCCTCTGCTAGTTACAATCAAAAATGGAAGATAAATAAATACACGTATATTTTAGCTTTTCAGAAAAATCAGACCATTTGGGGGAAGTTGTCAGCATCTTGAATTGCTCAGGCCACGGTGAACTGAGCAGCCGACGAGCATCTGACTGTAGCAGAAGCTGTAAAACTTCTGACTTGAGCAGAAACAAAACCAGATTCCTGGAATTCGGTACTGGAATGGTGAGAATTCCAGTGTCAGGGAGAGCTTCGTACCGGGTCCTCCTGCCAGCAGTCGTGGAACGGGCTCCGCGTGCTCGCAGCAAGGCTTCCACGTTGGGTTGGGTGCGGGCGCTGGATGCCCAGCGACTGCTGGCTTGGTGAGCTGCCTTTGCCAAGGGCAGGGACACTGCTCCCCGTTTGCTCCCGGTCTCTCCCCGTCCCTGGGGAGGAGAGACGAGC